TTTTTTTTTTTGAAACTTAGAATTTAGTTGTCTACAAGACTGCACGACTGGTTAACTACAGTACGACATGATTTCACCAAAATTTATGAAAAACCGAGTAGGTCCCAAAATGAATGTAAAATTTTGCTTTTTTTTCATTCAATGTGTCCTGAATTTTTACATAAATCTGTCGTTCAAAGTTTTGAAAGAAAAATGAATTCATCAAAAAGAAGTTCTTCGTAAAAGTAAAACACATAGTTTTGTAGAGAGAGATTGAAATTTTCCATATTTTGTTATATAAATGAATATTTCGTATGAATAGTAAGTGATTGAAATTTGAATTTACACTTAGTCTGATTCATTTGTCTAGTATTACTAAAACGATTACATAAAATTCTTTACATGGATGTTTTTCATTTTACAATAGATACTCTATACAAGTAGTTAGTAAATTTGATTTTCGAAGAACTTTAAGCGATCTATACACTTTGATTGCTATCGAACGAATATTTATCTACGATTTTATTAGTAATCGGTTGAGCTAAGTAAGAATGAATAGAAACTTTAAAAGTTACACACAAAAAATATATGACATAGACATCGAATGAAAACATTCAAGCTAAGAAATTACAAAGACATCATATGCGAATTACCTTATAGTTTTGAATCAAGTTTGTTAATATTTTATGCGTTACTACATCCTAAAATTTGTGTAGTATAAATCTAATGGAAGTCAAGTCGATTGAATTTGAATCATGTTTTTAAATGAAGATTCTTTTACAATTCTTTTCGATCTTAAGTAGAAAACAACAAGAATCTCTTTGATATTTTCCTCTGTTCGACCATGAAAGCGTACCGTTAGTTATACTCTGATGCAGATTGTTCTTATCTCATTAGATTCTAATATACCATAAGACTAAAATAGGATTGTATTTAACGAGAATGGATTACTATCCATCCACAATTTTCTTTTTAGCAGTCTTCTCATTTTTCATCCACTTGTAGAGTTCGTTAGTTTCAGTCGAACCGTACTTGGATAATATCAAGGAAGTGTTCTAATCAGAATTGGATAATTGATTAGAAGATACGATTGGATTCAGAACCAACTGGACGGGCTCTACCCTCCTGTATGACATCCAAGACCGCGTCTAGTTGTATCTCATCTTATACCAACGGTGAAAATATTCTACTAGCTGATCTATCTTTTGTCAGTCATCGAAAATTCTTTTTCCAAGTTAATATTGTTGGTAGACTAATGTATGTCTCGAAAGTTGACTCTCAAGTCAAACTATAACTACCCTATCGCATTACTCAAAATCATGGCGTTCTTTCGAACTTATTATCAGTAGCGAAAAATTCTTTTTGAATTTTCTTATAAATTCTTAATCAAATGATTAGTAGAACATACTGACCTTTTAAAATCATCAGCTATCTGAATATTAGAACTCATTTTAATATCAGTTTCTTTCAAATCTTTGTCAAGTTCACCATCATTAATTTCTGGACACGTAATCAATTTACTTTTTAATAAACCACAAAGAACTTGCAAGAATAAATCAACTTTGATTTGTGTTTCATCTTGCATTCGTTCAACTGTCCAACTTGAAAGTTTATTAAATAAAAGTAAAACTGCCATTTGATATGTTGATACCTTTGATATTTCAACAGAACAACAAACACTATCATTTTATAGACTAAATCAACACATACATTTAGAGTATGTTTTTTGTTTTGTATACAATGTTTGTAAATCTCCTTGTGAATGTTGATAAAGCCATATTAACGTACGACCATTATGTTGCTGAGTATAATATTTAGTGAAACTCTCAAATGTTCTCTTAAGCTAAAACAAACGTTTAATTTATAGCAATGAAAAAAAATAGAAAGATTACTTCAATTGGTAAAACAACATTTAGTAGCGTAGAAAATGGCCATGAATTGGAACTGAGAACCATTACAGAAAAATCAACTGAAAGAAGAAAAAAATTATATCAGATATAAGTTTAGAGAAAAATAAATGTCAACTGTTTATACCAATATCATCGAGTTTATTGTTTTCACAATATGTTCGGTATTGATCAATTAAATTTTTACTAACACCAATATCTTGAAACATTCGTTGTAATTTCGAAGTATATGCAACACCACATGCTTGCTGAAAAAAAATATATTGAATATCGATTGGTTATAATCAAGAATCTATTTTTTTTACTTTTAATTTTGAAATCATTGATTCTTCATCATTATTGGATGCACTTAGTTGACCTACTAAACGTTTGGCTAACATTTTGCTATAAAAATTTTTCAAACACATCTTTATCTTCAACATAATTGAAAAGTATCTGAAATAAAAAAGAAAACAATATTAAAGAATTAAAACCAAATATAATTAAGTAGAAAATAATACCATAATTTGATTGAATTTCTCTTCGACATTTGTCTCTTTTACAGCTTTACGTCTGCATATTAAAATTGATTATATTTTAATAATAAATGTTTGAATTTTGCAAACCCTTTTCGTAAAAGTCCATCACAATATCGAGCTAATAATTCAGGTGACTTTGCTGTCTTACCAGCAGCTTTTGTTACAGCATTATTATTAATAAATTTATGACAAGCCTAATACATACACATGAGATCAACAAAGAAAAAAATCATTCGATATACTTGATCAAGAGCAGCAGTAAAATTGTTTTCACTAGTATAATGTTCTTTTGCAATTTTGAAGAATTTTGTATGAATATTAAAAATTGTTTCAACATAAAGTTTCGGATTTTCTGAACAAAATAAATAAATAAATGTGACCATATTACGGCTTGTCCACGTAACGCGACACTTCGCTGATCAAGTTTCGAAAAAATTTTTTTTCGAGTTGGACAAATCTGAATGAGTTACTAGATGCAGTTTTT